AGAAGCATAGTCAAAAGAGCTACTAGTGAGTGGTGGCAAGTTGTTGCAGCATGTAGACACGCGTTGAGGCAATAGAATGATACAAGTTATAATTAATGTTTAAAAATTGAAAATTAAATAATTTAAGCAGTTATTAAATGTTCTTAATTTTTGTCTATACTTTGGCTTGTTGACTGATAATTGAAATTAATCAAATAGTTATATTTATCGTGTAATTAAAAAAAGTAAAAAATAATTGAAAATCATCAAAAATAATAAAATAATGATGTAATTAAAATTAACGAATTAATTAAACAAATTGTTTAAGTAATTAATTATTAATCATTAAAAAGGTGCTAATATCGGTATTTCATCATTAAACGGTTATCCAAAAAAATATGCTTTAATTAATAATCATTGTGAATATTAATCATTATTTAACAGGTATGGTATAAAGGCTGAACACACCAAAACTGCGACACTTATAAATTACTACCAGAAACAAACTAGAAGGCTTTGAAATTATTTTTTTTTTGTGTTATATAACTTGGAAGTTTAGACGTTATTAAAATGTTAAAATATTAGTTATTATTTGCTCCATATGCAAGTGTTCGGTATTTTCATCGCACACGCGCCATCATCTTCTGCACGACTGCATCATCGACTTTACGCGATGCGCACAACTACTTTGTTTTGCACTCTTCAATATTTTCACTGTTTCACCTGTTTTATTCAAGATTCCTTTGACAATTGACCAATATTCCCCAATAGGACGTAGCTCTGGGCTATTGGGTGGATTGCAGTCGTGAGGTACAAAATTGATGTTATTTGCATTATATCACGGCAATGTGTCCTTGGCATAGTGGCAGGTTCCCACGTCCGCCTAGAACAGTGGCCTACTCCTTATCTGTTGATAAATGACAGAAGACGCCTTTTGAGGCACTCATCCCGATAAACTTGATCATTCATTGTCCCGGATGGGAAAAAAGGGCTGCTCTTACGGCCACAGGAACAAATAGCTTGCCAAACCATGTGGTTTTTTGGAAATTTGGACTTCATTTTTAGCTTACAACTGTCAGGGGCATCTTGACGACTTGCACCAGTATACAACTCTTGACCTGCAATATATATTTTTTTTTAATTTATATAGCAGTAGGTTTCGTAGTCCATAACCAGTGTTGCCGTTTTGTTACTTTTACCCAATTTTGGTTATTTTTTTCTTGCCTGTGAAGTTGTTAAGATCTTTCTCATTTTGGTTATTTTTAACATTTACTGTAGTTTCTAATTTTTGTATACATACAATAATTAAATCTTTGAAAAATAGTATAAACAAATACATTTATTTTGCTCAATATGGTTATTTAACTAAAGTTATTACTACTAAAATGGCAACTCAAAATTTTACTTATTCCGATAATAATCATGTGTTTAAATATGGAAAAGAACATGTAAAAGTTCGAGAGTGCAACTATTATCGGTTCCTGTCTTTAATAAATCGCGTTGACTTAATCGCCAAGTTTTTGAAACGGCCCCGCAGTTACACCATTTCTATATTCTTTGCACAAACCTACATAGTATGTACCTGAAATGACATTTGAATAATACGAGAGTCATTAAGAAGTCGCTAAAATTATTATAATTCCGCGCAAAATTGGTGTTTCAAGTTAATTTATACGGGCTCAATTCTATGGATAAGTGAGAAAAAAAAAAAAAAATTTGGTTTTATTTTGTATAATATGTATTTCCAAAAAACTTTTAAATTAGGTTCGTTATAAGACATAGGCCAGCTAGACCTGTCGAGGTTGAGAAGAGTAGCAGCAGCAGTGGCAGCCCCAGCTGTGAAACCAAGTGAGAATATTTGGAGTCATTGTATTAATATTACTTACATATGTATGTATTTGTTTTATAATATACAGAATACATAATATACATGGTCGGCTAAAGACTACTTCAAATGAATACATACTCAGATAGTACATATATAAATACCTCGTATACCACGTAATGTATGTACAATAAAAAAGGGATTTGGTAATTATTTTTCCATTACTGCTTACTTTATTAATTTATGTTAAGATTTATAATAATAATCTTATAGCAAGTAGGTTCAAGGGAAATACCATTCCACAGTTCTGAAAAAATCGGTTTTTCGCGCTTTTGTAAAATTTATTTACTGCGTTTGGCGTATACGAGGTACTTCGCGCTGAGCGACGATATAGTTGAATACAGTCCAATTTTTAATTAATAATAATAACAGATTGGCACATACATACATATGTTAGTGTTTGGCCGAGCTTCTCCTCCAACTTGTGGCGTGCGCCTTGATGTTGTCACACAAAGCGAAGGGACCTACAGTTATACGCCGACTCCGAACGGCGATTGTATTTTTATGAGCAGCTATTTTTCATGGCAGAAATGCACTCAGAGGTTTGCAATTACCTGCCGAGGGACGACCGCTGTTAAGAAAAAAAATTTTTTTGCGATTTTGCTTTTACCAGGGCTTGAACCCAGGTGCTGCGGATTGGAAGCCGCTGCTTACCACTACACCACAGCGGCAATTTTTAATTGTTTAATCTTAATTATAAAATATTTACAATGTGGTTGTTCACGGTGAAACTGTGTACCTATGTATTTATTTAAAAACGTCATTTAGAGTCTGCTAATGTTTACGAAGATATTAACATACATATGCACCTAATACGGGATGCCTGATTTTCTAAAATATGTATTTATATATATATAGTTATATATGAATGTATTTCATTTATTTTCAGCCTTAAAAGGATTTTCTTTTCATAAATGGAAATGAAAATTGATTTTCTTTGGTTTGTAAAATTTGTCTATACGTACTATATAAAAGAATTTGTGATGACCTAAGTTAATCTAATAAAAAAATTGGTTATTTTTCCTTACATTTGGTAACTTTTCCGTCTAAGCTTGGTTAGAAAGCTCTTTGAGCGGCGGCAACACTGTCCATAACAATGCAGTTGTATTTTTTAATTTAGAATTCATACAACTTCCGAATGCGGGATTTCGCTGTAACATTCTACTTTGCGCCTCGGTTCGGTGCTGTTTGGGCTGTAGAACATTTCAATGAAGCTTTCCGCTTTACCTTTTGTACGAAAAACTGCGATCTCCGTACGGATTTTGCAACATAACGCGACAAAATCTACGGATCTCGCGAAAACGCACTGAGGACCTTCCTAGCACTGTTTTTATCAATTTGATCATGCTAACCCCCGCTCCCTGGTTTTCTCGTAACTGCCAGGCTTTATTTGTACCGATTAAAATCCTGCAAACTGTCGAATAGTACAATCTTTAATTTTTTAGTAATTTTACGTGTACTTAAGGCCGGATGATTTATAAACTCGTGCAAAATGGTTTATCTCGTTTCTAACTCGGTTGCCATTTTTAACTCAACTAGGAATTAAATTCAAATGAAATTTCTTCTACGTCCAACTAACGTCATGGTCAGCTTATATTATTTGAATATTGAAAATATTGAATTCGTTTTGGGTAAGTTATAAGCTTCCCAATGTGTCGCAGTTTTGGTGTGTTCACCCTTTAATTGCGAGTACTTACTCGCTTTAACGGTTTATAATATACCCAAATAATAGCTACAATATTTTGTGTACTTTATTGTATTAAACTGTCGAAGTCAAATAAAACGGGGCATGAATAAATCGTTTTATGCCAGGTACAAGTCTGGGCATTTTCGAACTAGTTCGGTTTCAGTCAGGAAATTCTAGTTGTAAACTATTATTTTTTCTGACTAGTTTGAGGTTTTACTGCAGGGAAGTTATGTGAAGCGCTCTTGAAAACCTGAAAGTCCACCTCTGGTGTGAGTAAGCTTTGATCAATCATGAGGTCACTATTCAACCCGACGAGCCCTAATGACAGAGTGAAAATCACAGTCTGTGATGGGGCTTTGCCGAAGGAATGCACAAGCTATTTGAGCCAGTTCACGCTGTATCCTTCGGTAGATAAGGATAAGCGTCGAGCACCCAAAAGGCAGTATCGGTTCAAAAATCCTAGTTCGTCTCTTATTTTCACCGGTGATGAAATTAAGGTAGTTTTGGCATAGGCCAACGGACTATGCATGCTGATCCTAAAAACTTTAGTCGGGTGGGATTAGAATACTACAATAAATCCCGGTTTCGGCCACTCTCATCATTTATGAAATGTGGAAGTCTGGTGTAACCTTTCAACGAAGGTAGTCATAGCTAATACCGTTAAACCTGCCGAAGGACTTCGCATTGCATTTATCATTACTCTCTGCTAGAGTACATTGAGATCTCCTCTCTCACACAAATTAAAATGGTAGAGGGAGAATTATCGGAATTATCCCTCGGCAGTCGTCAGACCCACTTGATTGTTTTAAACCCGATCGGTTAAGGAGATCAAGCTACAATTAGGCATCTACATAGCTCATGTTTACTAATATAGAGATGTAACTCAAAATTTACGTTTTTGGAGATTTCATTATGCAATCAATAAGCGGCTTGATAAATAGAATATGTTCAGTCTAACAGATAACCAAACTTCCCAACTATGTCGAAGATATGTGTCTTTTCATCTGTCTTTTTGTAAACCAACTGTATGTACAAAATTGAAATTTTGAAATACTTCGCTATATTATTACACGTGCGATATATCCACCGCACACCATTGCAGACGGTAAACAACCTTTTGACAGCTTGCTATCCTTGTCCGCGCTCGCCAGCAGCCCCAGAGCCTAGGTAGTTACAGATCTAGCAAAAAAACCGTACTCCGCGCAGAAACGGGATGCCTTATTAAGCTGATTACACACGAGGTAACCGTTGACGCAACTATTGCGGCAAATGCAGTAGTGCATGCCGTGTTATTAATTGAACATTCGCAAGAAAATTTTGTTTTCTACGAAAGCATTTTTTCGCCTC